CCAAAGTGAGGAAGACCCGAAACGATGTAACCCAATAACCTAACCATAGTTTTATTTAAACTTCATACCTTAGTTAGATTTATAGGATAAAATAACAGAGTCCGGATCTCATGTCCTTAAGACTAGATGGTCAAGAATTAGAATCGACACATCCTTAAGAATCCATCACGGCAAATCAGCTTTCGCTGAAGCAGTGAGCCCACCCGAAGGGACCCAGCTCCTATGCTTTCACTTTTTCGAGAGCCACAAGTATCATATCACACAGTTCTTCATTCGCCAGATTTGACTTTGAGGCGGCTTTTGATTTTTTTTTTTTTTGACTTGGATTTGTATCTTCGTTTTGAGATTTGAGTTCTTCAATCAACTTTTGAATTTCTGAAAGTTTCTTCGATTAAGTGCATCTTTTTTTTTGGGGTACTGGATATGATAGTTGTACCCATTCTTCTTTCTTGACTGTATGGATCTGATACTTAAGCTCTCTGTTACCACGAGGGTAACGTGTGTCAACAAATAGGTCCGTCGTCTGTGGGTCCAGAGTTGCCTATAAAGATTCTTTTTAAACATTCAAAAGCAAATAATCCTAAAGCTGTTATTACCGCCCACAAAAATATTTCGGTATGCTATTTTATTATTATCTAAGGTTGGGGTCTCGAATCACGGTGTTTAGGTCCCCTAGTTATGATAGCTGATTCTACGCTCCCGGTAACTATCCGGTCACTTCATTAATTTTTTTTTCATTTGAGTTCTCGATTTCCCACTTTCATGGAGCCATTGCATGTAAAGAATGTCATCATCTCGTACTCCTTTTTTTTTTAATTTTTTTAAATGATGATGATGATGCATGAATGAACCTAGTGTACAACTCTACCCCTCCCCAAGCTTAAAGTTAAGCATCGTTCCCGATGCTCGGAGAGGACGGAACAACCTGTTACGGAGGAGGAGACGGGTGGTGCCCGGTTGGGTAAGAGTCCAAACAATCACAAGTGCACACAAATTGAATTTTTAAGAAATATATGGGCGATTAAAGATATGGAAAGAATTTACCGAATTGATCTTAGAGTATTGCAGTTGGTGGTGAGAAATTCTCTTCAACCTCCCCAAGCTTGCCTAAATGAAGTATCAAGCCCGAAAGCACAAAACAAATTGTGAAAATTTTGGACCTAGGGGTTCTTGGAAGAGAGAAATTTTTTGGGGGTGAATTATGGGTGTATGGGGTGATAAAAGCCGATTTTTATACATAAAACACATTTGTTCTGCAGCACAAACACGACCAATGTTCTTTTAGTGTAAAATCACACGTCCCTTGTTGGGGGTTTAAAATTCTGAAAATGGATGAACACGGCCCGTGTTGGGCATAAGGGAAAAATGACATGGGCCGTGTACCCCTATGATTGTGAAAATGTTTGCCTCGCTTGTATACGGCCCGTGTTCAATATAAGGCAAAAATGAACATGGGCCGTGTATGGCTCTGTTTGCCACTTCCCACTTTTAGAACCCAAAAAATCCTCTCTCATTCAAATGAAATGGTTTTGTATCCTGAGGTTATCTTGGTGATTTAAAAACATGCTTAAATGCATTTGGAACATTAAAAACCAAAAACTCAAAGAAATGGAAATGTTTTTAAAGAAAAAGACAAAAATACCCTCGGGTTGCCTCCCGGTTAGCCACCCTTGTTTTAAATCGTTAGCTCGACGTTTCCTCCGAATATGCTTCGCTCTAAGTATGTGGGCCTCTCCAACATATCAGTCTTCTTGCCACCTCCTTCAATGGAACCTTCAACCTTTCTTTGGCTTTCTTTTTGCGCATAATCCAAAAAGGACTTAACCCTTTAATATCAGAGATTATCCACTCAATCCTTTTTTGGTATTTGTTCAGCGAGGTTATCAACTCACTCTGTTCCTTCTTCGATAGTTTATTTGAGTTGATGACCGGTTAAGTGCTCTCTTTCTCGACATGTATTAGCTTTAAAGGGTCCGGTGGAGTTTTTGCTCCCAGATTTTGTGCTTGTTCCTCCGATGGAAGGAATTTGGCTTCGGTGGTAGGTGGCTTGGGTTTCATATCATCAGTCCTCATATGCTTCTTGTCATCAATAAACTCCAAAATCTCCAGTACCTCATTATTCATATCGAACTCCTTTGCAATCTCCTTGGCTTTGTCCCTGTCTAGTTTTTGTGACAAAACTAACTTTAGAAATTCATTGTTAGACAAATTATACCCTTTTTAGTTGAGGGTTGGATAAAATTCATAAGCTTGACAGACTGAACATCGGAAGGAACCTTTTTTGCTTCATGAACATTTAAGTTGATAGCTTCACCATCAAATTCCATACTTAAAGTTCCATTGTAGACATCAATTTTTGTTTTAGAAGTTTTAAGGAAAGGTCTACTCAAAAGTATGGAACTTGAACTTGGAGAGTCATCATCTCCCATATCTAAGACATAAAAATCAGCCGGGAAAACAATTTCATCAACTTGCACTAACACGTCCTCCAATACACCTTTTGGATGTACCAAAGACCGGCCGGCAAGTTGGATGATCACACCGGTTTTGCTCAATGTTCCTACACCAATTGATTTAATGATAGAATATGTTAGGACATTTATGGATGCACCTAGATCGAGCATGGCTCGAGGTACATAAAGATTCCCCAATTTTCATGGCAAGGTAAAGACATCGGGATCATTGCACTTTGGGGGCATCCTTTTTTGAAAAACCGCAGATACATTTTCCCCAACTTTTATGATTTGGTTTTCTTTCAATTTCTTTTTAGATACACAAAGATCCTTCCGTATTCTCCTTGCAGTCTTCTCTATCTCCAAATCAAGTGGCAATGGTGTACCTGTACGAAAAGATCTAGGCATAAATAATTAGTAACACCGTGTCCCTGGCAACAACACCAATTTGTTAGGCATGTCAAACCCAACAAATAAAGGGGTACAATATACTCCAAAAGAATCTCACTATAATGCAATAAAAGATAGTACAAGGTATGTAGGGTCAATCCACAGAGACACGGGATAATTAGTATATACCTCTTTGCGCAAGGTACTATGGTCGCCAATAGTGAAAAGGGGGGTTTTAGAGTGCAACGACTAAAAAAACAATTAAAAGCACACGTAGTTAGCTAAATGAGTGAATTAAATTCCTATTTTGTAAGGATTCCAACTTCATGTATGACAACTTAGCAATTTGACTCAAAGATGACACAATATTCGTTCAGCTCTATTTAAGTTGGTACTTGAAAGTGCTAATAAGCTCTAACACTTTCCATTCACCACATTAATTAACCAAAACAAGCTCTTCGATTAACCCTAACCTTACTAACCTAATCTAAACAAGCTCTTAGAATTAGATTAAAAGATTGCATGAAACTTTATGTGAATGTTCCCAATAACACCCAATACTCCTCACAAGCTCGGGAGTGTAAAAGTGTATGAATAAGATTTACAATAAATTCATTTAATGGATATTAATTTAATTCTTGTTACTTGTTCAATTTCACAAAACAATTACGAATTTTGTAAAAGAGATAACTTGAATGACCTAACCCTAATTCAAATGGACAATAAGAATTATAATTATAATCAAACATTCGATTGTAGAAAAATCAAAATCATTAGATAGAAATTGAAAACAAACATCATGTCATATGATTGAAGTCACTGTCAAAACATGAAATTGGATACACTAGGATTCTAGCCACACTTGGTTAGAACAAGATCACAAGTCTAAAAGATAAAAGTAATGTATACAATTACAACTTACAAATACTAGAAATAATGTTTCCAAATGATTGCTAATCAAACCCTTCCAAAAACCTTAGAAATATCCTCACAAAATGTGCTATGATATCTTCTCTATATGTAAAAATGGCCCTTAACTCGTCTTATGAAAGATAGGAAAAACTACTAAAAGTTGGTTTCTAGGTCGAACACGGCCCGTGTTGGACATAGAGTAAAACTGACATGACCCGTGTTCAACATGGTCAACAGCTCCTATTTTTTTCAACACGGCCTGTGTTGATTTTGCAGTGTAAATCCAACACGGCCCGTGTATCTCTCTGACTCCAATTCCAAACTTGATTTTTCCAACTTTTTTGTTCTTCGCCCGATCATCAGGATATCCTCACCAATGCTTTCCGGCACCTCCCAAAGCACGTTCCAACCTCCGGTTTACCTGAAAATGACATGAAAATGTGCAAATAAGGTTGTTCTAGAGACTAACATGAAATATGATGAAATGCAAGACAAATGAAGGACAATTATGCTAAATAGATGCATGAAATGGGACTAAAAGGTGTGCAAAAAGGTGCACAAATTGTGCCTAACAGGTATCGATCCTAACTACTCTCTTACAAAATAGTTTTGCAAACCATATGGTTTAAGATGGGAAAAATAGGTCTTAAATGGACCACACTTTTCACATAAAATCATAGCATTTTGTAGTATGTTTTTCGAAAATGTTTTCGCACAAACGAGATATATGAGCACATGTACCCCCCCCCCTCCCAAAAAAATGTATAAAAAAACATTTAAATGGGACTGTAAGCACTCACCTTAGATTGGAGAATTAGTTTAGACTCGGGGATGGTGTTGTTTTCCACGAAGCACCATGAGAAACACAAATTAGCGATCATCTAAGCGGGGGCTATTTCCAACAGTCCTTTCATAGTGGTTTTCAAATGTTAACGATGAAGGGGAGGATGGGGAAAGGGGAAGCATGTGTCAGGGGATTTTGGGGTGGTGTTTGATCACCAAAATAGTAGGGAAAAGAAGGTGGCTGGTGGTGGTTTACATTAGTGATATGGTGAATTTTTTATGGTGTTTTTAAACCAATAGAGGAGAAGAGTAAGGGAGAGGGAAAGGGAAGCGATTGCTGAATTTGTATGATCAAAATAAGAAGACAATGGTTCTATTTATATCCCTTGAAGACCTTTCATTGCCATGTTAGCATCATTACTTGAAAACTAGTCAAACAGATAACATCACCATACTTGTACTATGAGAAGGAGTGCACGTAAAGGAAGAAGGAGGGTGATAGGATTAGGGAGTCACGTGGGTAGGGAGTCCAAGAGGGGTAAGAGCAAATTTATTTCACTTTTTACAAGTTATGTGGGTCATGGTGATGTCATGCTCTCAAAAAAGTCCTAAAAACACCTAGGTTTGTGTGCCAAGTTCCTAAAGTCTAATATTTTTTTTTGAAAATGGTGTATGTTAGAGTGGAGTTCAAGGATTCCAAAACCAATGTTATGTTGTTTTTGTTAACTATCGTATCTTTCGCGTACTAACTCCGTTTTGGACATTCTTTATATTTTTGGAAGCAGTTGAACATGTACTACGAGACTAGAGTGTTTGCTTCGGTCACAACTGCTTAATACAAAATTTTAGTTTTTCAGACAAATTAACTAGGGTTGCAATTTGACATGTTTGATTCGTTTGAGATTTTCTACAATTGGAAGTAACATACCATCTGGTATCTTATAATTGTATAAATATTTCTAAATATGCATTAAAGCTCAATAGGTCAAATTACAAAGAGATTTCAAATTACAAAGAGGTTTGCAGTGAACTGACTGTCTATAGTTTTAGACCTAAATTTCGGGATGTTACAACATACCTCAGAACAAATAATACTATAAGGAAGTCTAGTCCTATACCGAGTAGAAAAAGGACTTCCTTACCACTATCATTGCTAGTATCCCCCAAGAAGTCATGCCTCGGTTATCGACAGACATCCTGTTTCAAGGAATACTATGAGGAGGACAATATTGGGTTCCATTATGAGGTTGGGGAGTTATCCAGAGCTCCTCCACTTGTTCATATTCTTGGGACCCCAGTGGAGGACGTTATATTTGTTTTGGTTCCACATAGATCACATCATTTTGATAGGATATACACTATGGAGGAGGTGATGTGGTCACTGAGGAGTAAGGTTCGACACCTAACCGATAGGATTTTGATTTTGGAGGAGGATTGTGACATCGATGAGATGATCCTTCAGCATTCCAATGATCAGTCTGAGGATGCACCATCCCAGGTTCAGGCACTACAGGTTTAGATTGGAGAGATGGAAATTCATATACACATGTTGGAGAATATATTCATGACATCTGAGGATGGAGCTTACACCACAGATATGTGGATTGAGTACATACAGCAACAGTTCATTACATTACTAGGTATTTACTTTGGATTATGTTAGACATCTTAGGGAGGAGTTTCTGTATTTTTGTATTAGGAGTGATGGAAAAGTATGTATGCAAGTAGGTAGTACCCTTGCGGGTTTTGATACAGTTTATTTTGATGTAAAATACCCCACTTTTCCCCTCTTAACCACATATTTTGGGTGGTTCTAGGAGCCACGATGTAAGAAAGATCGTATAAATATAAATGAAAATATGTAATTATATGACAATCTAGTAATTTCATAAAGCAGTGTGTTATGTTGCTTTTCCAAATACAAAATCGAGAATCATTGTAAATTCCAGCAAATCATTAATTATGACATAGCAAACTTATATGATTATCACTTACAATATCATGCCAAATATTATGAATCAAGATATATCAAATTGTAAAAAAACTATTAAAAAATTTACAAACTCTCAAGGTTAGGATAAGTCGTCATTATATACAACTAGTCAATGGCTTCGAACAACTAACATCGTTTTATGCTAACTATATCACGAGGAGCAACCACAAAACCAAGACATATCCAATTAGCATGAATTCATCATCCATTGAGGCTCTAATCGACCAACGTGTTGCAGATACGTTAGCTAACTTAAAGATGCTAGGAATATTGGTTCTGGAAAGGGTGGAGGAAGTGGAGGTGAGAACACTCAGGGTGAAAAAAAAAAGTTCTTCATGATCCTACTCCTACAAAGATATAATGAACTGTAACCAAAACCCTTCTATGGAAATGAAGCAATGGTCAGACTGAACATGTGGATAGAGAAACTGGAATTTGTGTTCGAAATCAGCTTCTGTGTTGAGGAATGCACAGTGAATTTTGTTTATTGTGCTTTTATAGATGCAACTTTGACCTAGTGGAACAGCTACATAAAGATTAGGCATTAGTTCCGCCAACACCATTCCTTGGGGCGAGCTAAAGCAACTTCTGATCGATGAATATTGTCCCCAGGAAGATATGCAAAGGCTAGAACATGAGTTATGGAACTTAATTATGAAGGATGTTGATGTCGTAGCATAGACTTGTTACTTTAATGACCTTGATACCCTTTTACCTGGATTAATCACTCCCAAATACAAGAATATCGGGAGATACATCTTTGGATTACTGTTAGGGTCGTAGTTGTGTTATACGATGTCGAAATGTAATGTTATCTTACAAAGGCTTTTTATGTCGAAACTTAAAGTCGGGACCTTTGTATTTTTTGTATGCTTTAATGTTTTCCTATAAATAGGGATGTTACTTAGAATTAGATAAGGACTGGGAGTTTATCTTATCTATTTTTCTCTCTGTAACTGTCACACCCCCAAGCCAGAACGACGGAATCGTTCGAGGGCGGATGACTTCATGTAGTACCATAGCAGTTGAATACATAGTAAATAAAGTAAAACAATCATCATATATATAATTTAAAAGTTACATTGTTGAATGATACTTGTTCAAAACAAATTACAATATGATTACAAAATGAGTTTTAAACTAACGCCTTAGCGTCACTTCTCCAAAAGTTGAGGTTTACCTATATTACTGGATCCCTGAGTAATACAAGTAGTTTTGAATGAGTGTCAACAATTAAGTTGGTGAGTTCATACGCATTTATGTATAAAATTTGTAAGTTTGGTATGAAATCACTGAGTTTGCTGCTGGAAAATCCAATATTTTTCCATGAGTGTGTGGTAGTTTAAAAGTTCCAAAACTGTAATGCATTAGTAGTTTTCATGCCTAGAATAATAGATTTATGTATGCGTAAAATCACTAAGACATTTGATAACCCAGTAAATCATTGTGTTTTTAATACTCATGTGAGTTTTATAACCATGCTATTGACCTAGACTGCATGTAACAACGTTCTTCAGGCGTTGGAATATTATGACGTTTGTCACCCTAGACCTGCCGGTCTAACTATAGCTAGCCGTTTAGGAGCAAGATTGTCAATCCCGTATATATCTACACACAAGTATCACGCTCTCTCTATAAGAGATCATGGTATATAATACAGGACTTTAACTGCGTACTTGAAAGTACGTGAAGTTAAATGTATCACAAAACTTAGTATCAAATAGATTTACGTATGAAAAGTCCATTTGTGCTTGTATATGAAAGTATTTCTTTGATATAGTATTTATAGTATGTAAAATCTCATGATTTCCTTGTAAACTATACCTATTACAGTTTTTCCAAAAGTGTGTTTCGTTTGTGTGGTAAACCCTAGTGTAGTATCCACTTTGTAAGTAAATATAACATTTGTAATAACATTATTGAACATTTATACTCAAAATATAAATAAAGTGTTTGATCTTTATATAACAACATGTTTCATTTCAAAAGAACAAAGTGTTATCGTGATATGTTGCATGAGAACGTTTTCGTATGATAGTTATAAATCACATATGATTGATTATATAACAAAAAGTATAGCAAAAGATTATGTTTTTCACACGAGAATAATTGTGTATTTACTTGTATCCCCCCCCCCCCCCTAAAAGTGTATGAAAGTATTTACAAAGCATTTGAAAACGTAGTTGTAGGGGTATGAACTCAATTGATAGATTGAAGAAGGTGAGATGAAAATCGAGCAGAACTCTGACCGGAGAAAGTTGATTTCTCGGGATTATCGGGAATCTCGGGAGTGTAAGGCCTTCTTTCGGAAATTGGATGTGAATTAACCACCTAAACCCGAGCTTCTGGCTCACGTCGTGAGATATTTGACACCCTCAAATTTTGTGTCTCGAACTTGTAAAATCCATAACTTCCGTGTACGAGCTCCGTTTTCAACGTTCTTTATATGCATGCGTAGTTGAGAATATACTCTACAACTCTCGTTTAGACTTCTTCGGCACAATTTGATTTTATTTTTAATTAATTATTTTTCACAGGCCAGGACATGAAAACTTCGTCATAAAGCCATAACTTCTTCATCCGACGTCCGTTTTCGTCAGACTTTTTACTGTTGCGCTACTATTGTTGAGATCTTCGATTCTCATGTAGGTTGTTTCGACCAAAAATCTCTCGATCTCTATTTAGAGTTTTTAGTTGTCTACCGCTATCCCGAAACTTAGAAAAATCATAACTTCCTCATACGAAGTCAGATTTTGACGTTCTTTTTATGCACTTTCACGGTTTAGTATAATCTACGACTTTTGTTTAGATACCTAAGGCTAAAAATTATTTTATTGAAATTTCTCTTTTTACGTTTGTCAGTGTTTTACCGATTTTGACACGAATTTTTGATTGTTCATAACTTCTTCGTTATAACTCAGATTTTAGTGTTCTTTATATTTCTGAAAACCTTGACACGATAAATTTCATTTTAGGTAACCCAATAGAGAATTTTGAACATTTTATTTTTGACACTAATTTCATTATATCAAAAGAGATTACAATTCTTGACTTTTTAGGTCATTACATTGATTTAAAATATCGGGTTGTCATGGATTAAGGAAAGAGATGCAGACACTTTTGTTTCATCTGATATTCATGCTCCCAACTATATTCAGGTCCCTGTTTTGCATTACAGCAGACCTTCACAATGGGTATGCGACTTTGTTTTGTTCTTTTAATTTCCCTATCCCTGACCTCAATTGGTTCTTCTATAAAGTGGAGATTCTCATTGATTTCGATTCCATCTAGAGGGATGAAGAGGGTCTCATCTTACAAACATTTCTTCAAGTTTGATACATGAAAGGTAGGATGTACGTTATTAAGTTCATGCGGTAGTTGAAGTTTGTATGCTACCAGGCTGATCCTTGCAAGGATCTCGAATGGTACGATATACCTTGGGTTTAGTTTCCCACGTTTTCCGAAACGTATTAACCCTTTCCAGGGCGAGACCTTCAATATCACTCGGTCCCCGACCTGAAACTCCAAGGGCTTCCGTCTTTTGTCCGCAATACTCTTTTGTCTTTCTCTTAAAGACTTTAGTCGTTACCGAATTTGAACAAACCTTCTTAGTTGTTTCTTTTATAATTTCCGGGCCCGTGAGAGCGCTGTTGGGTACTTGTCCCTTGGCTAGTTGCGTGTCACCCACTTCAGTCCAACACAGTGGTGATCTGCACTTGCAGCCATAGAGGGCTTCGAATGGAGGAACTTTAATGCTGGAGTGATAGCTATTTTTCTACGAGAATTTGACTAGGGGTAAATGGGTATCCTATGATTTACCAAAATCGATTACACAAGCTCTTAGCATATCTTCCAAGGTTTGTATAGTCCTTTCACTTTGACCGTCGGTTTTTGGATGGTAAGCGGTACTCATGTCTAGTCTCGTTCGTAGAGATTTTTGCAGCGACTGCCAGAATCGCGAGGTGAATCTACTATCTCTGTCGGAGATAATGGATATTGGTACACCATGTAGTCGTACAATCTCTCGGATGTATGTTCGAGCTAGCTTCTCCATCGTGTCGGTTTCCTTTATCGGTATAAAGTGTTCGGATTTTGTCAATATATCGACGATCACCCAGATGGTGTCAAGCCCACCCGCTGTCTTGGGTAATTTGGTTATGAAATCCATGGTTATCTGCTCCCACTACCACTCGGGTATTTCAGGCTGTTTTTGTAATCCCGAGGGCTTTTGGTACTGTACCTTGACTTTGGCGCAAATAAGACACTTGCCTACATAGGTAGCGATCTCTGCTTTCATGTTTGGCCACCAATAGAGTTTCTTAAGTTCCAGATACATCTTGTCTGAACCTGGATGCACTGAGTATTGAGTCTTATGAGCTTCGTTCATGACAATGTCTCTGAATCCACCAAACTTTGGTGTCCAGATTCGATCCACGAAGTAACGAACTCTTTTGCCCTTGACTTCAAGACTTTTGTCCATTCCTTTTAAGGCTTCACCCGCCCTATTCTCTATTTTCAAAGCTTCC